AATACTTATACCTTATAAGAAAATCAACTCAAAATGTTTTAAAGACAGATGTAATACCTGAAATAATAAAAATCCTAAAAGAAAACACAGAGAAATAGCTCCTTGGCATTGGTCTCCACAGTGATTTTTTTGGATATGACACCAAAAGCACAGGCAACAAAAGCAAAAGTATACAGATGGGACTACATCAAACTAAAAACTTCTTCATAGCAAAGGAAACAATCAAAAACAATGAAAAGGCAATCTAGAATGGGAGAAAATATTTGCAAGCCGTGTATCTGATAAGGAGTTAATACCCAAAATATATAAGGAACTCATTACAACTCAGTGGTAGAAAACAAACCTTATTTTCAAAATGGGCAAAGGACCCAAATAGACTTTTATTTTTATTTTTTTAAGAAGGCATATACGTGGCCAGCAGGCATGTAAAAGGTGCTCAATATCATGAATCATCAGGGAAATGCATGAAAGCCACAACGAGATATCACCTCACACTCCTAGCACTTTGGAAGGTGAGGCAGGAGGATCACATGAAGACAAAAGTTCAAAACCAGCCTGAAAAACATAGCGAGACCTTGTCCTTACAAAATTTTTTAAAAATTAGCCTGGCATGGTGGTACTCTCCTGTAGTCCAAAGATACTTGAAGGCTGAAGCAGAAGGGTCCCTTGAACCCAGGACTTTGAGGCTGCAGTGAGCAGTGATGCTACCACTACACTCCAGAATGGGTGACAGAGTAAGACACTGTCTCAAATATATTGTATATATACGTACACATGTAAAAGACAAATGTAAGAAGTGTTGGTGCAGTTGAAGAGATAAGGGAACCTTTGTACGCTGATAGTAGGATTGTAAACTGGTATAGCCATTATGAAACATTCTTCCAAAAACTAAAAATAGAACTACCATATGTTCCAGCAATCCCACTTCTGGGTATATATCCGAAGTAATTTAAATTAGTATCTCAAGGAGATATCTGCACTACCATGTTCATTGCAGCATTATTCACAATAGCCAAGATACAGAATTGCCCTAATGACTGCCAACAGATGCATGAATAAAGAAAACGTGGTATATATGTCTACAATGAAATATTATTCAGTCTTAATATAGAAGGAAATCCTACCATTGGTGACAACATGAATAAATCTAGGGGACATTTTGCTAAGTGAAATAAGCAGACATAGAAAGTCAAATACTGCATGGTCTCATTTGCATGTGGAATCTAAAGCAATCAAACTCATCAAAATCAGAGAATAGAATCATGGTTGCCAGGGACTAGAGAGTGGAGAAAATGGGGTATTTTTGTTAAAGAGTAAAAACCTTCAGTTATGAGTGAGTTCTGGAGATCTAATATATAGCATGGTGACTATTGTTAATAATTACACACTATGTATTTGAAATTTTCTAAGAGAGTAGATCTTAATTGTTCTCATCACATGCACAAAATTAGTAACTATGTGAAGGTATGGATATGTTAATTAGCTTGATTGTGCTAATTATATTAATGGTATACTATATCAAAACATCATCTTGTACACCTTAAATATATACAATATTGAGGCATTCTTTGTCGATTATACCTCAATAGAGCTACAGAGAAGGAAAAAAAACCATAGTTTACAGCACACGATTTTATTACACTAGCCAATGAGTGTTATAGTTAAAAGAATTATAGGAATAAACAGAAGTAAATAAAATACAATACAGAAAATAGGCTTCTTTGCATTCCTTTCTTTGGAGAAGTAGTAATTGCTAGTAGGACTTATGATTTCTGACATTTGATTTTTATTTCCATCATAGGTCAGTTTCAAACAGCACTTACATAGGCTGCTCCTTCGCATATCCTAAAAATCATGTACGTAGTTATAAATTATATGAAGTTCAATAAAACTCCATTTTCCCCATATACAGGCTGCTCGTGCCCATGTATTTTATTCAGTTGACTCCAATATCCTCAAAGGTAGAATCTGTTTCTGATTTATCACCATTATTCCCAGTGCCTACCACAGTGCCTGGTATACAGAATGGACTCCTTAAATTCCTGTCAAATTAAAACGAACTATTTTAGAATTATTCTGGCAAGATAATAAGTGTTTACTGGATGACTGATTTATTCAGTGCCAGGCATGTCCAATATATTATCTCATTTAAGGCTTACTGTGGTAAGAAGCAAGTGTTATCCATCACCATTGCAGAGTTGAGAATTTTGGTGTACACAGAGGTAACTCGTCAAAGGTGAATCAAGCCCATTAAACTCCAAACTCCATACTCTATCCAGTACAATAAGGGTGCCTTCTCCAAAGGGCTGTTGTGAAGGCTAAATAATTAATATATGGAAAGTATTATAACTGTCTGGAACATAATAAACAATATACATCTTTGCTGTTCTTATTTTACTGTTTCTCAGGGTAGATGATGAAGAAATGTTCACTGAGATTTTTTTCTTATGCCACACTTAATACAAATGACATTGTTATTTTAAAAAGAACAAAAGAAAAAAATCCTAATTCTTAGGTGACCTGTTTCATGACATGTTTAATATCATGTTAAAGAGTAAAAACCTTCAGTTTTTAAAATGTTCCTTTAAGATTTTGCTTAAACTGGAAAGATCTTTGGTGAGTAGGTTGTATGCAGTTGGCATCTACGTGCTATGCCTGGATTTGAGAAAAGTTTTGCTTGTTACCCCTGTTGAATTTCAGGGGAATTTGTCCAGTTTCCACCGTGGACTTCATTCAACACTGAGCAGAGATAGAGTCTTGTATTTCCATTACTTGGCCAATTCAGTGTCATGAATTCCCTTCAAAATCTATAACCAAAATGTCAATTGAAAGCCAAACAAAGTGAAAGGCAGCTGAAGGCGGCAGGTTTTATAAGTAGAATCTTAAGATGCATGTAGATGGTTTGCATATTCCAAGGCTATCCTCAAAGCATTGAGAAACTTTAACGTTTCTGGTAGTCAATGAGAATTTAGACCTGTGCTCCACCTGAAGGGCCTAATAGTTTTCTATCCACCTGAGGGTAGAAAACTGTTAGGCACTTCAGGTGGATTCAGCTCACTGAATCCACAGGTGAGCTGAATCACAGGTGGATTCAACTCAGTGAATCGACCTGAAGTGCCTAACAGTTTTCTACCCTCCTTCACCCCTGTTCCAACCACGTCTTCTCAGATTTGTGCCTGTTTTCTTGGCATTGAGTTTAGACTCCTGAAGTGTGTCTTTATAAATGAAGAAACTAAACTTAATCTTAACTGAGTTGCCTGGTAAGCCTGAACTTCCTACGCAGTGTAGAAGCACATCTGGTGTCAACTGTCCCCGCTTTTTAGAACTTTGCAAAACTTTGAGAGACTTGGAATAGTTTCCCTGCTCCCTATCCTTAGATTATCTGGTCATACTTAGTAGATAGAAACTGAGTAGTATCAGGGATATGACCTCCCTCCCACCTTTTTGAGAGTTTTATCTGATCAACTCTTCTTGCAAGATTGCATCCTGCTATGACCTCACAAATTTTTCTCCTCTCTATGTAAATTACTATCTTTTCAGGTGGCGTATGACAGCCTCCGTTTGCTCAGGCCTCCATTTGTATGGAAGCTGTTATTATGGAATCAGTTTAATGGGTCGTAAATTTTGTGGAGAAAGGGAGGGTCTCTTGATGACTTTGTATGTACCCCCCTGGACCTACTGGCTCCACAAGGAGTGCATTAGGCTAAATATTTTTAGTCCATTGACTCTGGAGGTAACAACCCTAAATGTTTCATTAAATTTTCATGGGTGAGTGACAGAAGCTACAATAAAAAAAGAAAAAAAAAAAAAACAACCCCAAACAGAAAAGCACAAATCCATCACATTAGCTTTATTATTACACAGCTGGAAGACAGGAGTGTGGCCCCCAAAAGAGTAACAGTAAACTTTTTAAGGAAGGATCGCCGCCTGCCTCTTGCTTTCCTTTTTTTGCACCCGGGTCCAGCAGGGTAGCTTGTGTGCAGTGAGAATCTGCATATTATGCACTTGATTCACCCGGCTACTCGCTCCTCCTGCATTCAGACCTCTGGAGACGGGTACGCCACACAACAGGCATTTCCTGGAGTTGAATCCAGTCTCAGGGTGGAAGAATTTTCAGATCGGCCCAATATTTTCCGCGATTTGGTGTTTCTAGGATCTTTGTAAGCTAGGACCTTAAGCAACTCACTGTGCTCGCTGGAGCCGACTCTTGTACAGAGGACTGTCTACTCCCGGGCATTCTAAGAAATGAGTAGGGGAGTTAACCGCGGTATGCATACTCTTGGGAGCACGGGTCTCTCGCTAGGACTGGTGGAAACGTGACACATGCAAGCCGCCTCCCGCCCCACTTGCCCAACTTTGCCTGGGAAGCCTCAGTCAAGACAGCACTGGCGGCTCCGAGTCAGCACTGGCGGCTGAGAGCGAGCGCCCCCTCCTGCCAAGGGGCGTGGGGGCAACATGCCCTCGCAGAGACTCTCCTCGTGGTTTCTTTCGCTCATATTGACACTCCATATATTTGGGTATGCCTATGTTTCGAGGCTCGGATAAAAGGGTAGACCCTAGAGAAAAATGAGGGAGGCCAGGCGGAGCAGCGGCCGATGACGGTGATGGGGGAGAAAACACTGGATACTTTGTGACGACCCCCCCCGACCCCCTTCACGCCGGCGCAGCTGGGGCGGGGACCCCTTGCTCTCGGCTCGGCTCTCCCCCTTCCACGCCGGGATGGAGAAGGAGCGCAAGGGCTCCAGAGGCGCGACTGCAAGCCGCGGCGCCCCCGCTCGCTCGCTCGCTAGTTCTTCCACCTCCTCGCCGCCACCGCGACTCGGCTAAGCTCTCGGAGCGCGCTCCGGCTGCGCAGAGAGCGCCCTGGAGGGAGCGGAAGCCGCGAGGCCGGGGCGAGGGGCGCGCGACCAGGCGGCGGCGGCCAGGGAGCTAGCAGGTGAGCAGCGCCGCGGAGGCCGGCGGGGCGGGGGCCGCGGGAGGAGGCGGGTCCGTGCGGGAGGCGGTCTCCTCCCCCTGCTCTGACGCGGGGCCCGTGGCTCCCGGGGAGGATGGACCCAGCTCGGCGCTCGCCCGGGCTTCCCCGGGCTGCAGAGCGCGCCTGAGTGCCGCCGCCCGCCGGGCATGGGGAGCCGCTTCCTGAGCGGCTGCGGCAGCGGAGGAGGATGCTCTGGGCGAGGCGAGGTGAGGCACGGCGGGGGCGCGCGGCAACCCTGGAGTTCAGCGCGGCAGGTGCCCCGCAAGGACACGGCGCCGGGGAGCCAGGAGGAGGCTTCGCTGGGGCCCCCAGGCGCGGAGGAGGGCTCCTGGGACGCGCCACTAGGCAGTTTGTCTAGGGGTGCTGTGAGGATGGCGAATGCAGCAGTTTTTCGCCCTCTCCCTCCACTTGCTGGGAGGAAAGGGGCGACTTCTTTTTCTCTCTCCTGCCCCCCCATCCCCGCGCCCCTGTCTCCCTACTTCTGACCACGCGCGATCCTTTCTCCAGACTTGTCCATCCCAGACACTCGTCTCTCTGCAGGACCCCCTGTTCCCTCTTTCCTCCTGCAGTCCTGGCTCTATTCATCCCAGAGCCAGCCTTCTCCCGCTGTCCTGTGCTCCCGAAACTCCCTCCCTGCTTTGCTGGTAGCCAGACCCTTTTCCTCTTTCGGCCGAACCCGGTTCTCACTTCCTTACTCTTCGGTATCGCTGCGGTACTGCTTCGACCTCTCTATCCCAGTAATCCCAGCTCTTACGCGGGTACCGTGAGAACTGGATCCCGCGTTCCTCGGACCCCAGACTTCCTTCGGATCCTCGGTGGACTCTGTTCTTTGCCGCCAGTCTGCCTCCATCCACTCCCCAGTACCCGCTCCCTCCACACCCACCTAGTCCCCTCCAGCCCGCCCCTCTTCCTTCTCCATGCTCCAGCCTCGGCGCTCTGACTTGGATGCAGAGCTGTTTTTTTTTTTTTTTTTTTTTTATCCTATCAGAGAAACTTTAAATCTCTGTGGTTTGGCTCATAAAGCAGGCACACCAGAGGGTGTCAACCGCCGATAGAACCCAGAGTCAGGGAGTCCGAGATGGGGGGAGGTCGTGTCGCGGCGTCTGAAAGGGGCCAGTGGGTGAGTGTACAAAGTAAATTTCAAAACCAGGGTGGTTGGGCAGCCGGGACTCTGCCTCCGCTGGCTGCCTCTAGAGTATTATCGTGACCCCTGGTGGGAGGGCGCGTCTTTTCTCTGCACTTTTTAAGGCAATTTTTCTTTTCTCTTTTTATTTTTTGGTGGTGCTGGTGGGCCTGGTGGGGGGCAGTGGATAGGAGGGAACGCTGCCTGGAGAGGCGGATGACACTTGGCTGCTGCTTTACCTCCTCCCAGACCCTCCAGACTGTGTACGTTTCACTTCTTGTGAACTACCCCCAACCCCCAACTGCACCGCACAAGTCCTCATTGTTGGGGGTCTGCTGGGGCACTTCCGCTTAGGCTGGGCGAGTCTAAAGGAATGGTGTGGGGGTGGGGAGACTGGGGGAGCTTGCCTACAGCTCCGTGCTCCGCGGCGGCAGCTAGCGAAGTGGAGAGCGCCACGGCGCGGGCATCTCTTTGCGCCCCGGGGTGTGTGTCGCCGAGGACAGGGTGCACGCCTGCGTGGGTCGGTGTCTGCGAGTGCCTTTGGATGTCGGCGCACGCCTGTGTTTAGCTCCTTTAGAAAGAGGGACGAGTGCAGAGCTTTCAGGAGCAAGAGCGCATTTCTCTGCCTGGGATCTGGACGGGGGCGAGTCCTCCTCCGGGCTGGATGCTCCAGTGCAGCTACTAGCCTGTCCACTGGGACCGGGGCAAGAGTCCACGCCGCCGTTTCTCCCTCCCTCCTGCTCCCCTCCTGCTCCCCTCCTGCTCCCCTCCTGCTGGACAGTTAAACGCACTTTCACAGGGTGGATAGTTTTGAATAAAGGCCGTATGGGGGTTCCACTACACTTTACTACACTTAACGTTTTCAGGTAATCGTATAAATTAAAGGTGGCTTACGTTCAGAACCCCCTAATTATCCAGTTCACCTTGGTACACTTATGTACCAATTATAGGTCTTTGGGAAATCCATAAAATTATAAACCATCCCCACCCCTTGAATTAGCACCCATTGTTTTTCTGGTCTCCGAGATGAGTGATTGTGGATGGCACCGGAACTGCGCAGGCACCAAGATAGATGGGGGTTCGAAGATAAATGGGGGTTCAGAGATGTCAGAAGGAGTTGGGTCCTCCAGCCCCATCTCTTTAACTCCCTATCTTGACAAGGCTTGGTGACAATTCTGGGAACTTAAAGGGATCAAAGATTTTCTTGATTTCCTATTGAGAAGGGCGACCTAATCAAAGCTGTATAAAAGTCAACTTCTAAGCAATCAGAAATTGTCTGCTGATGTCCTTGATTGAAACCCCAGCATTGAAATGGAGTATTGAAGAATTCGCAGAAATGTCTTTTGAAGCGCTATTGTTCTTTTCCATACACAGAGGCTCTCTTAAAGGTTTAGGAAGTTCAAAATGCAATGGTTTGAAAGGACTGACTTTGTAACTATTTGGCAACTCTGGGAGGATCCGCAGGGATGAAAAAAGAGGCCGAGGTGGGAAGTGCAAATATGTTGTGACCATCTTGAGAACGGTGCTGTCAAGTGGGAATTCAGTTCTATACATCGAGTTGGCAATTAAATTTCTTCCTAAAGAAGATTTAGAAGATGATTTTTAGTAGTTTTTATTTTTTAGTGGTTTGCTTAAGGTCTGAATAGGCATATCTGAAATATTTAATCATGTTCATTGTATTCAACGATAAAATCTGAATAAAAATTACTTATTGTTGATGAAGCTCATCTCACAAGCTGTTTCACAGTATGTTTCATTTGCAAGACACACCATTGTGTGAGGCTGCTGGGAAGAGATTATATCACTTATTGTTCATTTTCTCCTCCCAACCTAGAGAAGAATATCCTTCTTCATTCCCCTTTGCCCTCTAAAGTAATTTTTCTTAAATGGGTGAGTGTTTGGCTTGGTACCTGATGGTACCCATCTAAAAAATTGCATTTGGTGTAGATTTAAGATGCTTGAAGCCACCCTGCAGGCAGATGAAGAATCTAATGGAGGGAGGCAGCATTTCATTTTGATAATTCAGTCAAGTCAAACATATTTTTTTTTTTTTTGCTGGGATTTAATCCTTCTCTCAGACTAATAAAGCAAACAAAGTAAGAAAATCACAGTTTATGTCTTTTAGATGGCACTTTAAAAATAGCATACATGGAAGGGTATTGTCAGGAACTTTAAATGTTATTTATGGCTTACTAAGACAAAGAATACTCAGTGGTTAAGTAGTTGAGGATGAATCACTTAACCTCCCAGAACCTTGCTTTCATCATCTGCAAAACGGACAAAGTTACCTACCTTGTGGGTCTTGGAGCAATTATATGGGGAAGATCATATGATTGGGTGCTTTGGCTCATAGTGGGATTTCAAGAGAATGGTAACTCTTAGTAATAGACAGCATGGAATTCTGTTGAACAGAGTGGATGTCATTTGGAATTGGAAGACCAGGATTGAATCCAGCTACTTCTGACTTTGTGATGTTTGGCAAGTCACCTTTCATGTTACTAAAAAAGAATAATTAACCTTTATAGAGTACTACTAAGAATCAGGAATGCTTCTAAGCACTTTACACATATTAACTTATTTAATCTTTAGGTAACCCTAGGATGTGAGTACTTGTATTCTCATTTGTATTAGCTAGATAAGGAAACTGGAGCACTGGAAGATTTGGTAACTGGCCTGAGATTACATAGCAAATAAGGGATGGAACTAGGATTTAAGCCCAGCTATCCTGGTTCCAGGGTCTGTCCTAACCACTGTTATGCTGCCTCTGAGTGAGAAAGTGATCCCTGCTATCTCCCAGGGTGATTGTAAAATTTAACGGAGAATAATGAAATAGTAAGACTTATTCTATAGGAGCAAGCTATGTATTTCCCCATTTTTGGATGCTAGCAACATAAAATGAGTGTTACTTGTCATCAACAGAGAATGCAGCAATGATAGGCATTTTGAACACTTGTGACTCTGTGGCAGTTTCTGGCAGGTGTGTGTTGGTATTGTTTCACATCTATTTACTCTGTGAAAATGTTTATTAATCAGGGAACAATTAGTAAATAAATAATTGTTTGGGCAATTATTAATGCAAAAACTGCATTACTGTTCTCGTCAGTTACTAGCTGTGGTAAGCAGAGATTCTCAAACTAAATGGTGGTATAGCAGGTGGTAAGGAGTCAGGACTTGGTTTCTGGACTGCCTGGGTTCAGGTCTCAGCTCCACCAGCGCTACAAGCTATGTGGCCTTGGCTGGCTAATCTAACTTCTCTGTGCTTTAGTTTTCTTTACAAGAAAATAACATTACTTACCTCATAAAATTATGAAGATTACAGGAACTCATACAAAATGCTTAGAATAATACCTAGCATGGAAGTTTATTTAGCTGTTAGTGTTATCTTTCAAATGAGATAAAAATCCTTCCCCTAGATAATGAAAAAGTTTTCTATCATTGATATTCTGAGACTTAAGTGTCCTAATAGTATTTGATCTATCTTTAGGAAGAGATACATTTTAGAATTTTAGGCAAAGGTTTTGGTTTGTTTTATTGGAAATGCTTCCTTACACATTTTGATTATTTGTGAAGAGGAGTTGTAGAAGTACACATCATGTTAAAATTTCTATGCTATTTTACTTTCCCATGGTTATTCTGAGGAAAATAAAATGACTTTGATTGAATTCTAGAGGTATGTTTGTCAACTCTCCCAATTTACAAATTGAAAAAATGTCAGGCTTGCAGAGATACGTAACTTTACAGCCGAGAGGCACCATGACAATTCAGGATTCTTGGACTCCTGTCCAGTGCTCCTTTCACTAGACCAGATTGTCTCCTATACCAGGATAGAGATGTGGCTTGAAAATATAAATAAAACTTGGCAGAGAAGGTGTTGTCAGGCTAAGAGCATGAGCCAGCCAGACATTCTGTACTGAAAAAAGCATGTCAGTAGGAAAAGAAAACCCCTCCTCTGGTATGTACATTTATATCCATGAATACTCGCACTGAACTGAATCTGTGAAATGCATATCAGGATATAACTCATGTAAAAAAATGAAAACAACTCATTAATCAAATTAATCACCTGGATATTTCCCTTTGATT